ATACATCCCCGCCCCCCCCCACACACAAAATCCTTTGGTGTGGATAGAGAGCTTCAGTCTGGTACCTTCCAGAAGTATTAAAAATTCACACATTCAAACATCTATCTCTATCGGAATGTCCTCAATTACTTGTATACCGGTAATATGTCAAACAATATACTTTTGGATACATTGCCTAATTACTTAAAAGCCTAATCTCCCTATATAAAGAGCAATATTCCTCTCTCCTATCCTTGTCTCATCTGTCACCTCATTTATTCTAATTTATTTATCAGAAGAGTGGATTTTCTTCTCTTTTGCTCTTGTTATAATTGGATCTTCTTGTAGGTTCCAAGATGTTTACCATACAAACAATACTGAATTGCATAGCAACTGTTCTTATACTATTGAGGAATAAATTGCATTTGACTTCAGACATGATGGAAAACAGACTATCGCCTTCTGTCAGCTGTTATTAGATAGCACCCTCTCTTGGGAAAATAACCAAAGTGGGGAGCATAGTAAAGTCTACTACTATAAGAAACAAAGGGACCAATCCTGTGAAATACTAAGCACCTTATATGAGTGCTGATCAAAGTGTTCAAGAAAATAGTAGGTGAATGGAAGATTCCCCTCTAATGTGGAGGCAAAACATGCTCTAATACAAAGAAAACGTTCTTCAAGACAAGCTGTGAAAATACTATTGATGTGTAGGGTTGCCACCCTCCAGGATTGGCCTGGAGTCTCCAGGAATTAAAGATTATGTCATGTGATGAAATCTCCAGGAATACGTCCAACCAAAATTGGCACCCCTACTGATGTCCAATGTAAATATGCTACTTCTGAACCCCAGTAGAAAAAGAAGTGGCCAAAGTCCCTAGATTGTATTAGGCTGACCATGTTCAGTCTGATGACATCTACTTGTCTTCAAAACAGGGCTGTTTGGGGCATTTCGTTCCTGCAAAACAGTTCTCTGTACTCTCAGCTGGCAAGGCCTGAGAACGCATGACCTTCCCCTTCCCCACAATTGCTCCAAATGCCAGTTCATAGCAGGGAGGTAGGGGTAGGAGTGAGGAGGGGGTTTCAGATCCACTTCTACCTTTGAGCATTTGCGTCTGCTTTCCACTGCCTAGGCATCCATAATGGCTTCTGCTGAATAAGTGACAAGATCAAACTCGACCAGGAATGTATATTCACCCCATTCTTTTCTATAGCTGGATCACTTGATGACCTTCACCTAAATTGCTGATCATACTTAAACCATAAAGGGAATTCTAAATCTTATCCTAATACAGGCATCATATACTCAGTATTCTTCCTAATGATGATAGCTAAAGACAGATGAATGTCACAGTCTGAGTGATTGTCCTTATGAGTGATGCCATAAGGGAACTCTCACATGTTTTGTATCCAGCACATCATTGCTGATGGTTCATGTTGGTAATTTGCAACATGAGATTTCATCCCCATCACTGTTTTTCCTACTGTTGCATGGTGGTGTTGCAGTTTAGAGTTAGAAATATAAATTGTAAATGCTATTACCTTTCTGCACATGTAATAATGATTGAACTGACGTTACACAGCAGCAACTCCAATGTATAATAGTGATAGACCTGTAGATCATCCCGCCTAGACCTGTGCATGAAAAGAACCCTCTATATGTGTGTCTCCCTGTTCCCCTACAGAAAAAGGAGGCATTCTCTTTCCATGACATTGCCACCTCTTTCTCTGTGGTTTGCACAAGGAGAAGAGGCGGAGATAGGGCAGCAGGGGGTGAGCTGAGGGATATGCATCATCCTGCCTCTGGCTGTGTGAAGAGTAAGCTAAAAAAGTTCCACTTATGGGTCTAAAGGGTTACTGGGAGTTGTTCAGAGGAGGGGCTAGAATTCAGAGCAGATGCAGGGGAATAGAGCCTTCATTTGGCCTATTACAGCTTCCATGGGATCATCTAAATTGGGGAGGGGGAGTATTCTTGCCTATTTGTCAGAGCCAAAACCTGCCTCCCCTGACAGAATGATCAGGAAGAAATGGGGCAAACAGAGATTTTTTCCTTCTGTAGGATTTTCTGCAGGAGGGGATGATCTGGGCTGGGGGCAGCAGGCACTGATACAATCCACTCAATAGTCACTTCGTTGGGTTTTTCTCACCCCGATCATGTGGTTTTTTTTTTTTTTTTCCAATGGGTAGCTGCCGACTTGATTAATCTCATTTCCCCTGGCCCTCAGCCTTTCCATTCACCTTCCAGCTGAGCAAACAAAGGGGTGGATAGTCATTTTAACATGCTTCCTCCCTCAATCCCTCTGGGATTGGCCTTTAGTTCATCCTGTTCATAAAACAACTGTTTTAACAATCTCTGAGAAATGTGTCTCTTTACTAGTACTTGGACCAAGCAGCCTCTATTGGGATAAACTTTAAAAGACCCAAATCTGCCACCTGGGAACCACCATTCAGCTAATGGCTTTATTATTATTTCTACTAGATGGAGTGGGTTTAATAAAGATCATGGCACTCATAACAACCAGTTGAGAAAAAACAAAATAAGCAAACCAATGGAGTCTGAAGTTCTATATTTACCTTGTGTATTATGCACTAAGATATTTTAAAACAAGTTTGACATGACAAGGACACTATCTTGTGTTCTTTGTTTAGATTTTGCATTTCTCTGAAAGTCAATGGAGTCAGTTTCACTTTTGGTTTTTTTAGTGTTGCAAGGTTTAGCTCTTGCATTGTGAAGAGGAATGTTTATTTACTTCAAATCATCTGTTCTCATTTGGGAATTTTTTTAAAAAGGTAGAAATGTATCCATTGTCACTACATTTTATAAAAACCTGTATTTTCAAAATGTAAATTTGTGGCCAAACTAAAAATAGTCAATAGAAAATGTCAATTTGCAAAAATCCCTGTAATCTCCACCTTTACCCTTACTAAGCAATCCCTGACAATTAAAAATCTTGAGTCCTAATAAGTTCCTATAGTCAGCTACAAGATAATGTCCATTGAAACAAATGGAAGTGGCTAGATTTTTACCAGTGAAAAATGCAAATAGTCAATTTTTGTAAGAAATCTAGACCCGCACTACTTTCTCAGTAAACTGATTGTTGAACACCAGACACAAGTATCTGCTTCTGTTCTCTACCATTTCTTTCATCCAGCTTACTACAAAATGTGTTTCTTGCAATGAACATAATGACCACTTTCAAGAATGCAGACTTTGTGACACGGGGGATCCATCTTGAGTTGAACTCTGATGGGCTCAGGGCCCTTTGCCTCAATTGGGTCGCTTGATTTATTTAGTGCAGAAGTCAGCAACCTGTGGTTCACAAGCCACAGATCTTTTCAAACATCTGCACCGCTCAGCTTGAAATAGGAAACTGGCGCCACCCTACCATCCTCATTCAATTCCCTTCCTTCTCCTCTCAATCCACCCCTCTCTTCCTGGTTCCTGCTGTTTAAGTCCCACTCCCTGTAGTCTTGAGTGCATTTCTCCTATTTTGCTGGTTGTCTTGTGTTAATGTTTTGGGGGAATGTAGATGTATTTGAAAATTGCCATTTTGAGTCTCATCCTGGTATCTGTTCTCTGACACCAGTCACTTTACAAGGGGTGCCCCTTGCACAATAATTGAGTGAATATGACAACATTATATAAATGTTGCTCTGGGGGTGGTAGCTAATTTCTATTATTCTTGTTTGTTTATTTAAAGTACTACTAGAAAGTTTAACAAAATGACTTGCTTCAGGAATGAGGAAATTTTCTATCTGGCTGTAGGGGTCTGCTTTCTAACTGCAGAAGCACCAAGGTTGGGGGAGTGAAAGGAACAACTTTTCCATTTTGATGCATGCGGGCTGCTAAGAGTACTGAACGGAGGGTATAGATGCTGTCCTTTCCCATCTTTTTTGCTTTTTCAGCCATTACCAGAAGCTAATTTGAGAGGTGGAGGGACTTGTAAAAGTCACCACAATTCCGACTTGAGTAACCACCCTGATCCTGCTCTCTGAGCAGTGAAACCACCACACTGATTCTTCTATGTCTTCGTTCCTGCAGTCATGGAGGAATGAACAGGATTTGTCCCTAATGAATTAAAACACTGCATGAATATCTAATCGTTAATTGTCTAGGTTGAAAAATGAGACATCGGGATCTCAGTAGAAAAATATTGCAGACCCTGAGCTGGCCGCATCATTGGTCTGAACAGGTAGAACATAATTGGGTGACTGAGGATTGCATTCACAACTGGCTTTGCTTCCAACATCATCTGTGACAACGTTTATTTTTAAGATACAGTGCTCCACAAAGTTTTATCTATGGTAGAGAAAAACAGTACATTTGCATTATAATGTATGACCCTATACATGGTTATCTGGAACGTGAGTGTGAAGTTCTGTGCAAAGCAGGAGTGCAGTTGGCAGGGGCGTGGGATATTAGACCCCAAAGTAGTTGTGGGTAAAGATAAGGGGGCCTGGGAGGAGAAGGTGCGTGAGGCTTGCTCAGGAGTTGGTATATTTGTGTATATGGGATCCAGCAGGGGTCATGTAGAGGGGGAGGCGATCAGGGTTTGGAGAAGGGTTGTGTGGAAAGTTTAGTGGAGGGAGGAGCCTGGGGGTTGTGTGGGGGAAGGGACTAACGGGGGTATAATGTCTGCGTGGGGGATGCAGGGGTTTTATGAAGAGTGGGGTGTCTGGTCAGACGGTGGGAGGTGGGCAGAGGTTTAGGGGGCAGAGGAGGGGGATTGGGCACGTTTGGGATGGTGGGAAGGGTGGGGGGCGGGAGAGACACGGGTGGGGGTGGGGTGATGGTTTGTGGACGGTAGGCACTGAAGGCGCCAGGGATGTGGGGGGGCGGGGCCCATCCGGCCAGGGGAGGGTGTGCGCGTGGTATAAGAACGGGACCTAGAGAGGGGCGGGACGACCGCCCCTTCCCTAGGCTAAGGGTTAAGGGCCTAGGGAAGGGGCGGTACCTTCAGCAGCGCGCACACCCGCCTTTCAACAAAGTCTGATCCCGCTGCCGTACCGTCCCTTCCGGTAACATGGCGGTCTCCTGTGGGCAACGGAAGCAGCTGGCGGAGCCGGTGCTGGGGAACCCCCCGCAGTGGCACGTGCCCATTCCCGGCCGGCTGGCAGCATGTCATCGCCGCCAGGGGAAGGCGGGGAGCTGCGGGGCCGAAGCCTGCAAGAGCTGCAGGAGATGCTGAGGCGCCAGGAGAGGCTGCTGGCCGCTCGGTGAGTCCGGGGCCGGGGGGAGCGAGACCATCCCGGGGCTGAGCTGAGCCCATCCTTCCCCGCGTACGGTCCCGCGCGGCAGAGGGGGGCGGTAACCGGCGTAACTGCTTCCAGCCGGGGACCAACTGCCCGCCCCCAATACACCCCCCCCCCCCCACCCTCACCCACCCCTTGCTACCCCAACACACCGCTGTCATCCCTTCCCCACACACACAGCTGCTCTGCATCCTGCTCCTCCCACCTCCAACACACACACACTGCTACCCCAACACCAACACACTGCTCTCATTCCCCCCCACAGAGCTGCCCTGCCTCCTGCCCCCACCAGCCACCACTTCCAACACACATGCTCACACACACACAGAGATACGCACTGCTACCCCAACACCAACACACCTCTGTCATCCCCGCCACACCTGCGTGCACACACCAGAGCTGCCCTGCCTCCTGCCCCCCCAGCCACCACCACCTATAACACAGACACACACACGTACGCACACACACACACAGACTCACCACTACCCCAACACCAATGCATCGCTATTATCTCCCTTACACCTGTGCGCACAAACACAGAGCTGTCCTGCCTCCTGTTCCCCGCCCCCAGCCACCACCACCTCCAGCACACACAGATAGACACACCACTACCCCAACACCGTTGTCATTCCCCCCTCCCCCCCACACACACACACAGAGCTGTCCTGCGTCCTGTCCCCTAGCCCCCAGCTTCCACCACCTCCAACACATACATACACAGATAGAGGCACCGCTACCGCAAGACCAACACACCGCTATCATCCCCCCTACATTAACACGTGCACACACACATAGCTGCCTGCCTCCTGTTCCCCCCGCCCGCCCTCCCCCAACCACCACCACCACCACCTCCAACACGCGCAGACATGACACAGTGAAGCCTGATCCTGCCAGTGACTTTGCATGAGCACCCATCCCCCCGCTGTCACTTTGGACGGTGGATACCACGGTGACAGGAGCTGTGCCCTTCTGAGAGGGATAACAAGAGAGGGATTGACCTATGAAGGAAGGCTGAAAGAATTGGGTTTGTTTAGTTTGGAAAAGAGAAGACTGAGAGGGGACATGATAGCAGTTTTCAGGTATCTAAAAGGGTGTCATAAGGAGGAGGGAGAAAACTTGTTCACCTTAGCCTCTGAGGATAGAACAAGAAGCAATGGGCTTAAACTGCAGCAAGGGAGGTCTAGGTTGGACATTAGGAAAAAGTTCCTAACTGTCAGGGTGGTTAAACACTGGAATAAATTGCTTAGGGAGGTTGTGGAATCTCCATCTTTGGAGATATTTAAGAGTAGGTTAGATAAATGTCTATCAGGGATGGTCTAGACAGTATTTGGTCCTGCCATGCGGGCAGGGGACTGGACTCGATGACCTCTCGAGGTCCCTTCCAGTCCTGGAATCTATGAATCTATAAACAACCAGGTCACAGATCGGACTAAATGGGCAGAACAGGCCCAATAATCATAAGGATTTTCCCCTATTGAAAGGGCCACCTCACGGGGGCTGTGCCAAGTACAGCAAGTGCAGTGATAAGGGACAGAAGGATTTGGGAGTCCAAGCACTACAGGATCAAACTATCGTAGAATTCAGTGCCAGAAGGGATGACCGGATCATCTGGTCTGATTCCTGTATATCACAAGCTACCAACGCCACCTAGCACCCACACACTAAACCCAGTGACCAAAGTATTAGTCTACAGGAAACTAGACTGTTAGGTGCCACAGGCAGAGAATAGGTGGGACTGAGGTGCACCAAAGCCCCTGCAGTGGCAGGGAAATGATTGTTAGGTAGACCCAGCTAATCCTGGCAAGTAACCTGCACCCACACACTGCAAAGGAAGGTGAAAAAGTTTGTTACTGCCAATTTGACCTGGGGGAAAATTCCTTCCTGACCCAAAACATGGTGATCACTTAGATCCTGAGCCTGGGAGCAAGAACCAGTGAAGAACAATAGATAAATGATGCTTTTGCTTTAGTAGGACCTGATCTTGCAAGCACTTAAGCATGAGTGACTCTATTCAAAGTCAATGGGGTTCCTCACATGAGTAAAACCACCCCATATGTTTACATGTTTGCGGGGTCAAGGCTTTAATGATTTGCAAATCTGACATGTTACCTACAGAAATACATTGTTTTTAAGGAGGCTTTCTAGTCTCCTTCAATAAAAGGAGTGTGTGTGTGTGTGTGTGTGTGTGTGTGTGTGTGTGTGTGTGTTAATGAGTAAAGGCCAAAGTGGGGAGGAGAACACAATTTATTTGGGGAATATAGAGAGGTGTATCTAATCTTAGGCTATGTCTTCATTGTAAAAAAGATGTCTTGTTTCACATCGAGATAGCTAGTTTGATGTAAAATTGTAGTGGAGACAAGACACAAGTCGTTTTATACCTCCATATAGCTAGTTGAGGTAAACCCCAATTAGTGGGGCTATGATTGATTACAACTAGCTATGCTGAGGTAAAAACTCCAGTGCCTGGTCCCCTCTAAAAAATGACAGTGAGGTAGCAAACTTAGTATGAAGACATATCTTTTTTTTTTTTTTTTTTTTTTTCCCCTTCCAGGGAAGGAAGACTAAAGAGTGGGGAAAAGGAAGAACTAGAACAAACATGCATACTGCACAAATGTGCAATTTTAGCCCTATTCTCTAAGGCAGGGGTGGGCAAACTTTTTGGCTCGAGGGCCACATCTGGGTGGGGAAATTGCAACTGGGGCAGGGGGTTGGGGTACAGGAGGGAGTGTGGGATGGGAGGGGGTGCGGTGTGCAGGAAGGGGCTCAGGGCAAGGGGTTGGGGCAGAGAAAGGGTGTAGGGTGTATGAGGGGGCTCAGGGCAGGGGTGCAGAGAGGGGTGCGAGGTGCAGCAAGGGGCTCAGGGCAGGGAGTTTGGGCGCAGGAGGGGTGCGGCAGGGAGTTGTGGTGTGGGGTGCAGGAGGAGTTTGGGCTCCGGCACGGCGCTGCTTACCTGTTAGTAAGTTAGTAAAACTTCCTTGGACCCAATTTACTGGTTGTGAATGCTACTCATTTGTGTCAGAATCACATCAATTTCTAGGTTGGATTTCAGACACATACACTTCTATGATTAATTTGCTACAGATAGCTTTGATAACATAATAGAGTTGAGAAGAGTATTCTGGGTAAGGCTGTCAAGACAACAGTTTAAGAAGTATACTCAAATTTTACATATGTTCACAGTTCTAAAGTCAATTGATAAATATCTTCAGTAATTATAGCACAGTTCACTTCTGTCTTGTATTTTCCCCTCCCAGTTCTGTGATCTTTTAAATGAAATCACTGTAAAATATTTGCTATCTATTAATTCAGCTCAGAATAAGCTTCACTTGTTTGGCAAAATGATTACTTTTTTTCTGCTATAGTCATGAACTTATAAAACTACAGATGTCATGCATTTATGCAAACTTTAGAATTCTAATGTTTTCAGAATGTTTTATGTCATGGAACCAGCAATGTTTTAATATTTTCATGAAACTATTAAATTTATCCATCTGATATTACATATGTGAATATCAGAAATAAGACTTGAGGCTTGTCACATAATTATTTCTTTCTTATTTTTAGGACTTTTATTTATAGACTTCCAGATAAAGGTAAAAAGATCTCTGATTTTGTTGAAAAGCTGAAGCTTGCCATAGCACAACAGGAAGAATTAAGGAGGACAACTGAACTGTTGTCTGTTGTTAGACTGGAGTTTCAGACAAAACAAGAGGAGATTAATACAAACAAGCAAAGAGTTGCCCTGAGTGAGGACAAATCAACAAATAAAGTTTTCTCATCTATTTATGAAAACTCTGCTACTAATGTAAACAAAGCTTCTAAAACTGTTTTGCAAGACAAGGAAGCTGAATGTACCGAGAAAAGAGAGACACATACAGCTTTTGCAAAGGGCTATAAAAAACGTGATCAAATAGAGAGTATGATAGAAGACCATGCAAAATCTCAGGAAAGTAAATCCAATTTAAATTCATCCTCAATCAGCCTGATGAAAATTGATCAGCAGATACCTAAATACAGTTCTCTGGGTGAAACAGAAAGTGCAGTGGATGCTTCAGGCAACAGTGGTGACATGCTGGTTGATGCCTTTGAAAGAGTTGCAGTTGGAGATGGGAATAACAGTGAAAGAAAATCAGAAAAAGAACAGAACATTGCTAAATTTAAGAATAATCCCTTTGGAAGCCTTCCCACCGTGGCACCAAAAAAACCACATTATATTGAAGTTCTAGAATCAAGAGCTAAGAACCCAAGATCTAAAAATAAATTTAAAACCAACGTGTAAGTATTGCAGAATATAGAAGTTTCTCATAAATAGCAGGACTAACTAGTCTCTATATAAAATTGGCGACTGTAAATGCTTTTTGCTTTGTTTTGACAGAATTAGATGATCAAAAAGACATATGGCATTTAGTGGCATGCTAGTTTAATGTGCTAGTCCCCCACATCTGGGGACTGGGGCTAAAATCCTGATTCAAACGTTATCTTAAAATGTGTCACTTAGTCGCCTGATTCCACAAGTAATAAATAATCATCATCAACCCTAAAAGGTTTTTTTTGGTCCATGCTACAAAGCTATTACTTAACTGGCAAATATTCTTTTAGGATTACAACTGAACTGTAATAGCAGGTGGCTTGTCAGGATCACTCTGAATTTTAATTTCTGTATTGGCAAAATTGTCTGGAAACTTCAACAGTGACTACCTGAAGTTTCCCTGACTCCCAGCCACTGCTTTTTTATGGGCAGAAAATAAGCAGAAATAGAGAACTAGAAGAATAACTTCTGGCAGAGATTTTTCCCCCTGAAAGAATATTTGCTACAAGTTGGTGATATGATAGCTTTGCACCTTTACTAGGTGCTATTCTGGAAACAATTGATATGCATGATGGAGCATCATCAGTGTGTCTTCATGTAATTGAAAAGATGGACCTATTGTAGCTGCAGATCACTACAAAGTATATTGAAAGTATTAGAAGATTACAAGCTGTATGAAATCACTAGTTCATTTTTTTCCATTGATTAAAAACTTCGGATATCACAGAGGAAGGCAGGAAAGAGTGACTCCAGGTGTCTGTGTAGTATGTGATTTTATGGTTAGTATTAGAAACCTGTGTGTAGAGAGAGATTGTACTTAAGTAGGGCACGATCCTTCAATGTGCTGGAGCATTTCCTGTGAGAAAATGAATGTCCTCAACCTCAGGGAAGTTAATTGAAGTAGATAGTGTTCAGTAGATTGAGAGAGGCAGCATATTCTAATGGACTCATTGCTGAGCTGGGGACTCCTTCATTCTAATCCGGGGTCGGCAACCTTTCAGAAATGGTGTGCTGAGTCTTCATTTATTCACTGTAATTTAAGGTTTCGTGTGCCAGTAATACATTTTAACGTTTTTTAGAAGGTCTCTCTCTGTAAGTCTATATATAATATAACTAAACTACTGTTGTATGTAAAGTAAACAAGGTTTTCAAAATATTTAAGAAGCTTCATTTAAAATTAAATTAAAATGCTGATCTTAAGCCACCAGCCTGCTCAGCCCGCTTCCAGCCTGGGGTTCCGTTCACCTAGGCCGGCAGCGGGCTGAGCGGGGCTTGCGGCCGGAACCCCGGCTAGAAGGGGCCGGCAGCCAGAACCCCACGTTGGCAGTGGGCTGAGCAGAGCCGGCGGCTGGGACCCCAGCTGACAAGGGGCCGGCAGCCAGAACCTCAGACCGGCAGCGGGCTGAGCAGGGCCAGGGGCCGGCACCCCAGACCGGCGGCAGGCTGAGCGGGGCCGGCACCCCAGACCAGCAGCGGGCCGAGCGGCTCAGCCTGCTGCCGGTCTGGGGTTCCGTCCGCTGGCTCCTGCCAGCCAGGGTCCCAGCTGCCGGCCCCGCTCAGCCCGCTGCCAGTCTGGGGTTCTGGCTGCCTGCCCCTTGCCAGCTGGGGTCCCAGACACCGGCCCTACTCAGCCTGCTGCCAACCTGGTGCTCAGGGTGGGGATGTGGGGGGTGCAAGAGTCAGGGCATGGGGGGTGGGGGGGGGGGCTGGGTATGTGTGGGGAGTGCAGGAGTCAGGGCAGAGGGCTGGGGGCGTGTGAGGGGGTGCAGGAGTCAAGGCATGGGGTGTGAGGGGGCTGGGTATGTGTGGAGGGTGCAGGAATCAGGGATGGGGTCGCGGGGGGATGCAGGGGGCTGGGATGCAGGGGTCAGGGTGCTGGGATCAGGGGGGTGCTCCCAGCCCCCTGAGCGACTCACGGCAGGGGGCTGGAGGGATACGCCCCATTCCTACCCCCCTTCCCCCTGCCTCTTCCCCGCCTCCTTGCCAGTCTGAGCAGCGAGGGCCCTGGGGCTGCTCTTCTTCCCTTCCTCGCAAGGGCCATTGGCGTTAGGGAGGGAGAGGAGGCGGGGCTCCACGCAGCACGCTGGGGGAAGAGGCGGGGGGAGGGGGAAGCTTGGCTGCCAGCTGAGCTTGCCGTACAGCAGCAGCCGGTAGGACCAAGCTTGCTTCTGCCCCCTGCCCCCGCCAGAGAGAGCGGTAGGCAGGGGCGGAGAAGAGCGGGCTGGGTCGGCCAGGATTTTTAATGGCACGCTGCTGCCTGCTGGGGTCCGGCTCAGCCCGCTGCTGGGGTTCGGCAGTGGGCTGAGCGGGACCCCAGCAGGCAGCAGTGTGCCATTAAAAATCGGCTCGCGTGCCATCTTTGGCACGCGTGCCATAGGTTGCCAACCCCTGTTCTAATCCTTGCTGAAGCAGTGATTTACTGTGTGGCCTCGAGGAAGTCACTTAACCTCTCCATGAATTTTTCCTCATTGGTAAAGTTTTCTTCCTTGTAAAAGTGTTGTGAAAATTAATTACCTTTTTACATGAAGAAGCACTATGAAAGTTTGGCTTATTGTTCACTTCTGTGGTACATTATAATATGCCCTGATTTATACTGTCTCTTTCTTAGTCTTTCTGTATCAGAAATGACTATTTCTTGAATTAAAAACTGTCTTAAATTCACATTGCAAATATGGGTCGCAACTTCACATTTGATCCCTTTTAGATTACCAGCTGAGTGGAGTGGCTCATCTCATGATTCCTCACCTAGTCGGTCACCTAGGAGACTTGAGTCTTCGATTTCTGAAGAAGAAAGACGTCTTAGAGATAAGAAACATCTGGATGACATCACAGCAGCCCGGCTGCCACCACTTCATCATGCACCTACCCAATTGTTATCCGTAGAAGAATCAATAGCAATTCAGACACAGCAAAAAGAAATTTATGAGGTATGAATCAGTGGTACTGTTTGCGTCTGGAAAATGTAATTATATTGCTGGGACCATTCTGGAAAGCCACAGTATAAAGGCTAAGCCTTTCATATGTTAGTCAGTTGAGACTTCTAGACTCTTTATAAGGTCAGATTAATTTTTCTATTTGATTCTGTCCGTTTTTTTTTTCCAAATTCATTCTTTAGAGCTGTTTATCAAGCAGTGAATAAAATTTAGCATTATTCTTTGCATATAGTAATGATCAATTCATTACAGTGTTATTTGTCACTTCTGTGATTTGAACTCAAAAAGTATACTCAATAACAAGCATACCAGTCACTAGCGTATGCTGGATACCCCATTCATGCTAATGAAGGCAAAAGAAGTATCCAGTGTTATAGATCTGAAATGTGTGCAAGTAATTGCAGTTGATTTTCTTCCCACAGTGACTGGCAATGACCAAGTTCTTTGTAGTCACTGGAAGTTAAGGAAGTTTCATTTTGAACAGAGATCTGGCACTGGATTTTGGCATTGAATTCCATATGATGACAGACTGGTAATGCTTAAAACTGGACAGCTAGTTAAAACTTGTTGGTGTTGGACTATTTAATTTCAGTGTGGTACTGCTTAATACTAATTAATAATCTCAGCATTCCTGAGAGTTAGGTAAATGTTATTTCCCCTTTTTACGGAGGGGGAAACTGGAACTGGAGAAATTACGGGAGTTGCCAAAGGCCACAGTCTTTGTCAGAGCTGGGTTTGGAGCATGCGAGTTCTGTTTCTCAGTCATGTGATGACTCTGGTAGGCCACATCTCTACATAGGCCTGATCTTGCTCAAGTGGAAGCAGGTCTTATGTAAGAATTGCAGCATGAGAAGCTGCTGCTTAAGTAATAAAATGAAATAATTTCTAAATCAAAATATTAAAGATATTTTAAGGAAATGTCCACTGTTTCTTGCAGATATTAGGAATTGCTGGGATGAGACTTAATGTGATCATGCGAGTTACTCTGTAATGTTTCTATTTTTCAGCTAGTAGATTTTTTGATACCCAGGATGAATAACAAATTGTAGTTTAACTTGTGTCTCTCTCTTTCCTGTGTGTGTTTGTTTTAGGAAACGCAAGCCAAACTTGCCGCGCAAAAACTAGCCGAAATGTTGAATATTAAAATGGTCAGGTATGAACCTGAAGGGGAAACCTCAATGAAATACAGAGAAGTGAGGGATGAAGAAGACTACCATTCATTGGAAGACTGAGTTCAAAAAGGAAAATATCTGGCAATGGACAGTGTAATTGATCTCTTGTGCTACCCTTTTAAAAACTCGATAACCAGGATTCTTGACCATGTAGATTGCTGTGTATGCTAGAGGAGATGTGGCACTGCAGCTCTGGGAAGGGATTAATAGTTTGAGTACAAATGATATTGGTGTTTGTGGCCTGATTTTCATAGACCGAGAATGTGCTCAGTGCCTCTGAAAATTGCCCATTGGGCTTTATATAGCTCAGCTAAAGTAGCTGTTCAACATACTGTGGTAAGCAGTGACAAAGTGTCTACAAGAAGATGCTTATAGTTGGAGGAAAAATGAACGTAAAAGGAATAATATATTTTTCCACCCTTAAACCTATTGTGAATAGATAAGAACTCTGAGTTATAAAATAACTCAAATCCTCTTCAGGCTCTAAGGGACGTTCTCTCCAGTTATGGTGACCCTTGTTAAGCAAATCTAGAGATTTAATTAATTTGAAGACTAATATTTTCTATTAAAGGCCTTGGTGTTTTTTTTCTCCATACTATTTTTGTACATTGATTAAACTTTTGGAATACCATTGTCTGCTGAAATTAATAGAACAGATCCTTCCTCTAGTTTCATTAGAGGAAATAAAGTCTTGGGTGTTTTTTCAGTAATGCAAACTATCCAACCATTGAAGATCAAAAATCTCTCAAACACAGTAGCATTTTCTTTGTTTCAACTGAAGTTTGAAGGTGGAGAGCACCAGTGAAAAGCTTTTCTTAATTACAAAGAAATACAGCTCAGATAAAAAATAATAGAAAATTCTTTATTTTACTTGCCAAGACCTGGGTTCTGAGATTCCTCTGAAGCATAAGGAATACAGCTCCCTGCTGCTGACTTAGTTATTGGCAATAGCATTAGCTGTTGTAGGAGAACTCAAGCCATGGCGGGTAAAAAGACTTTTGTTCGTCCACTAGCGTTAAATATACTTATAGTGTAGTCTGCTTTGAATGACTGACATCTGGAAACTTAAGGGCCTTTCCATAGAAGTGCCATACTTGTAAAAGTATGCTCACACCCATAAAACACGCTTTGTGCGAATCATACATAGCTACCTGTCTTGTGTACAGATGCATGTTGCTGAAGCCTCAAGCATTGTGTCCTTCAAATATGTGACCCTGAACATCAGCTTCCTTTCTAGCTTCCAAGCATAAGTAACAAGCTAAATCATAGCTAGCAAAGTTATTGTCTAAAGGATAATTCTGAAATTGTGTTGCTGTATAAGGGAACTGGAGCATGCTAATTGAAAAGAAGAAAAGGGCCTTGGCTTGCAGGATGTAGTGAGAATAGTTGTTTTGTACATTCTGGAATAATGAAGCCTCCGATTAGATCCAAAACTTTCAGCATTTTGACTTCTGTTATGCATGCTTTAAAATTTGATTCTGCTGGTGACTTTAGTACAAAAATAACCCAGTTGAACTGGTTAGGAAAACATATGTTGAATCTTCAGGTTTTTAAGATTATATTAGAATGCAAACTGACTGGAAATTGGTTATATTTGTTTAAAAGTTGGGGAATCCTGTATATTGAAAGATTGAATAGCAGACACTCTGCTCCTCAGTGTCTCATGTTTAAAGGGATGGAACCGTGGAAGCATGTCTAATTTGTGACCCTGTGGGTTTTAAGAGCAAACTTGCCAGAAGAGTTTGGATTTTGCTCCTGTTTAATTATGTAAGCCCTACCCACACTAATCTTAAACCTACTTATGCATTAGTTTCTGGTGATTCTTGGAACCATACCACTTTAAACTGTGATCTTGTTTGCTTTTCTAAGCTCAGTTCTTGACTGGGGGGGCAGGCAGAGAATCTCCCAAGGACAAAGCCAGGTGGTGTAGGAAGTGCTGGCGGCTCATAAGTGGCACTCATTCGTTCATGAATCAATGTCTGACTGTGCTATTAAGGGATACTGCTGAAGTTTTCATCTTTTAGGTGGGACATCCCGTAGTCTTGACCATTTAACATCTGATTTTTCAGAATGTTAAAACTTTTCAACCTCAGTTGAAGTCAATGGGGTATGGCAGGTGCTCAGAAACACCAAATGTCAAGCTCTTAGTCAATGTAGATCTCAGGTCTCTCTTAAGAGTAAGGATGCTCTGATATTAGATTTTGCATATCTAAAGTCCCTCTTCAGTTTCAGTTGGATACAATATTTGTCACTTCAGGTTCTCAGTTTAACCTATTAAATCTCAGCTGCACCCTATTAAGTATCTGCACTATGAAGAGGCTTCTGTCCCAGTATACTCCTCACCCACACTGTCCCACCCTGACTCTCCCAGCTGTGCAGCTCCCAACAGGCTTGCCTTCTTCCCCCTCCCTTGGGCAACACAATATAGCTGCCTGGAAGGGAGAGCTGCTGCAAGCACCAGGGAGCCTCTCCTGGCCCAGTATTTCCCCCTGTATCTTTTTATTTTTATTTTTTGGTAACTTTGTCCATCTGCCACCCAAGGCTCCCATCACACCCTTCTGCATCATAGCATCCTTCTTCCTCCCCCCACCCACTGCCTCCATTTCCCCATCCTTGTTACCATCACCTGTCTACAGTTTCTACCGGCTCTACCTGCTCCTCTTCTCCCTGCCCCTCTTCCCACCAGCACCAATCCAGCTCTCACATCCACTCGCTCCTCTGCCTCTTCATCTCTGATGAGATTTGCTCCAGCTCTGGTCCTTCCTCATCCTCTCCAGCTCCCACACCCATCTGTACCACCACTCCATTCCTAACCTCACATCTATCCTACTTCTTCCCTCCTCTTCTTGTTTCTGGAACACCCACTCCATCTCTAAAAAGATCACAGCCATCTAGGACCTTGCCATACCTTGCTCCCTCCAGGCTCCTGTCCCTCACAGAGACCAGAATCCTTCATCTGACACTGGCTCTGCAGCTGCCCTCTTTTAGAGTATGTCTACACTGCAGCTGGGATTTCCAGCATCAGTAGACAGACTCACACAAGCTCATTCTCCAGCAAGTGGCTAAAAATAGCAGTGTGGATGTTGCAGCATGGGCCGGAACTCAGGCTAGCCACCCGAATCCAAGCCCACCTGACCCCCTTGGTCCAAGCTCATGCACCTAGCTCAAGCTGTCACCCATGCCACTACATCCACACTGCTATTTGTAGTGCACTAGCTTGAGCTGAGCTAGCGCAAGTCTCAACCAGCACTGGGAATCACACCACGGCTGCAGTGCAGACGTAGCTATAGAGGCCTGCCCTTTCTGACTTCCTGCCCTGGATCAGACATGGTGAGGGAGCTCCTCTTCTCCTCTTCTGTTCCTGCTGCTTCCAACTTCTCACTACTTCCCACTCTCTGTTGTGAACAACCCTGCATCTGACTCTTCCCTCTCCCCTCTGTGTTGCCGTCATCTACCATCCACCCAATTCTTCCCCATCAGCTTCCTTCTCTGATTTTGACTCCTGTTATCTCTCTCTAGTGACTTCAGCTTCCACGTTGATGACCCACCTGATTCCTCATCTGGAAGTTTCCTCACCCTCATCTCTTCATTGTACCATGCAGCCCTGGTTCAATTCTCTCACTCACTAAAAAGGCCGTTGACTTGCCTAGGTCTTCAACTAGCAGTGCTCTTGCTCTGATCTCTCTGTTGCTGATTTCCCACATGATTATCATCTGGTCTCAGCATCGCCCATCAGCTCCCCCAGTGTGCCCTGTCTCTTGGCCTTTCTGAGATATCCAGTCCATCAGCTTTAATGAGTTCTCATCTGCTTTCAGCCCTTTCCTCCTTGTCCTCTCGTCCCTTTCTTTCGTCGATATGGTTGTTGATTCTCTCCATGTTTCACGCTCCTCCACCCTTGACTCTTTTGCTCCTCTCTCTTCCATCACAAGGTCTGTTCTGCCAACTCCTCAACATCCACTTCCTCAGGTCCTGCTCTTGCGCTGTGGTGTGTCTCTGGCTGAAATCCCATGACCAGGCTGACTTCCTCCCTTACAGATTCATTCTCTGAGTCTGAGTGGCCAAATGTTGAGTGATCACCTCTGGGTGAACACTTTTTTCACAAAGCGATAACTCTACATCTGACCTCTCAGACCTCGTTCTCAAAGGAAACCTGCACTACACCTTCAAATGATGAGCCTGGGAGCTTAAATTCATAACTTTGCTAGATACTAAAAATCACGGACTGAATAGACACACTGGATTTCTGGCTTGTTACAAGAATCTAACAATCTGTTCCACCTTGTATTTAACTGTGACAGAGAGTACATTTCCCAGACCTGAAGAAGAGCTTTCTGTAAGCTCAAAAGCTTGTGTATCTCACCAACAGAAGTTTGTCCAATAAAAGATACTACCTAACCCACCTTGTCTTTTTGGGATCAAAATTCACCAGGAAAATGGAAATACTCATATTTAAAACTGTGAAATACAACTGGCATGGTTGATACCAGTACGAGGTGAGAGTTGTTTCTTACCATGGGAAGTTACAGGAATTTGTACTAAGTAGTATCCCTCCAGCTTACATTTAAAATTTGACATTATGGACTGGGTCCTCACATAGTGTAAATCAGTGCATATTCATTGAAGTAATCACTGAGGTCACTGAAGTCCATAATGTTTAATTTAGATATTTGTATTTCTTCCCTCTCTGTGTACACAGATGGTATTAATGTAGTTAGTTATTAGATCAAGGTGTCCAATATAATGGTGTATTTGTAACAGGCTTAAATAGTTGCAATCCAAAATCTAACCTTAGTCTAAAGATGAACACTTTATAAGACTCCCTTTGTATACTTTTGCTGACTGCCCATCTCGTTGAAATATTTCTGTTTGTACTTTTGCTGTCTATCATAAAATGTCTTTTTAAGAGAAACCCTCATGGTAGTGATATCATACCCTTTTATTTACTTAAAAGACTGCCCAGTGGCAATAGGATTAGCCTAGAGCTGGTTATAACATAATCTCCTCTTCTGTACCAATATTTGAACTGCAGCTCTACCATCTCCCCCACTGCTATAGTAAACCCCAGGCCCTAAATAATCTGTGACACAAATTCCAATTCTGTGGCAGGAAACCCACAATTCCATGACAATGTTACTTAGATTTATGATTTGATGATTTATTTATTTTTCATAATACGTTGCTGAGTCCTCCCTGGAAGTGCAGTGTGAAAGGCCTGAGTAAGGAGAAATTTATGCCTACTAAGGCTTGACGTTCAAGGTCCCTGTATAGACAGCGCCCAGCTGCTGGGGGAGTATGTGGCAGCTGCGTAAAGCTCTGTCCTTCCAGGACTGGCAGTGATGGGAGGGTCTGAGCCAGACTGCAGAAGGCTGGCAACAGCCACGGCCTGAGCTGATGTTCTGTGGCAGCCATGTAGAGCTCTAATACCTCCTCGATTGTGAAGTGGGTGAGCACAGATTGAGGGGCAGATGATGATAGTTTAAGATTTTTTTGCTAAAAAAAGTCTGTATGTGATTGTTATCCCTGTCCCTGCAGTTGTCACTTGCTTTGGATTGTAAGCTCCTTGTCATAGGGACTGTGGATATAATTTTCAAAAGTGCTGAAGTGATTTAGGAGCCTAAAGCCTGTTGACTT